CCATTGGTTTTGCAATGGAGCAAGGTTTGACAGTTAAGCTTTGCATAATATCATCGGCCAACTAGGGAGGTATGAGAGTTACTTCCTGCTTGAATGGGCCATCCCTGAGACATATTTTCCACTGGTGACTAACTTTTACTGCAAGACCATAAAGCATATTTTCAGAATAGTTAGATTATTCTTTCAGTATTACCCGTTGTAGTCCCTAGAGCTAGCTTGCCTTTATTATATTATGCCTTTATTATACTCAGCAGTAATGCAAGGAACCTACAGGACTATATCCTGTAAGACACTGGCTTCAGCAGTTAGCAAAAGGCTTGAGGCCTATGGACTTCGGCACGGATAAACAGCCCAACAGTAACCCCCAAGTTTTTGGCCTCTGGTGATGAGGGGAAGGTGACAATGACGATGATGAAGATGATAGCTAACATTTCAAGTTGTTCTGCAAGGGGATGGTGTGAGTATATGGCTGTGCAGATGTGCATTCTGTAGTATCTCTATGTACCTTACTGAGTTTGAGTGCTTCTGCCTGAGCTAAATGTATTAATAAACTATTTATAAATATGGAAGAGTTCCTATAGTGTGAGTGTTTCAACTGTGCAGATCGGGGTTCCCAACTATATAATAATTTGAATAATACTGGGCCTGATCTTTGGACAAGAACCCGGCAACCCTTGAAGTGATAACTGGGAATTCTTAAGCAATCAATATCATTATTACATAATCTATAGATAAAGATACACCATACATACATCTCGCAATGATTAAGTCTTGATTAAGTCACAAACTGTCTGTAGATACCTTACATGTCAGTCTTCATCAATAAATACCCTGTAAGATGTGTTGTGTAATGAGTTTGTCGGGCCTGAGATGAGTTGATTGCAAAGAATAGGGGGCTTCTGTGTCATGGAGACCCAGTAAGCTCACTAGCGTTTGTGCATGTGAATAAAGTTATGCTTGCGTTGGTAGAATCAGACCCTTAGTTTATGTAGCTATATAAACCTTATAATTCTCTGAAATGGTACCAAATGTTGTCTTCTGTAATGGAGTGAAAATGCATGGGCAACTAAAGAGGTGGAAAAAAGCAACATTTAAATTGTAGTAAGAGGCCAAAAAATATTGAAAAGCTAGGGAAACATCCCAGTGTGCAGCATGAGTCAAAAGGCTCGGACTTGATCCAAATGAAATTGATAGCAAAACTGCTACTGACCTCAGTGGGGAAGAATCAGTCCCAAAGTTTGCACAGAAGACATCACCAGAAAAATAAAATTTAGGAACCTTAATTGTCTACATCTGACATACATGTTTATATTCCACTAAAATGTTCTATGCTGGGAGCAGATGGAGTCTCAGCTGGTTGGGCTGAGATGCTGCCCAGTTTCTTTCCTGTCTAAAGTACAATACAACACATGTCCAAAGGTACTGGCCACGGTCAGAGACATGGTACTGAACTAGATAAACCTTGGGTCTCATCCAGCATGTCAATTAATTTGTTCTTGTGTTCCTAAGAGTGCTTACTATTCCAACCATGGCATTGGTGAAAAATAAATTCTTTTCTTATCACTGCTCCAGATTGAATTATCTTTTCTCAGTCAGTTATGGATTTAGAGTAATTCGTGTTAAATTACCGTAGGCACAGTCTTTGAAAAGCTCCAGCACTTGAATATCTAGTATCTAAACCATTTAATTACCTTTCATAATAAAATTTAAAACACAGTGTTGCCTTATAAATTGCAGCAGTCTAAAAACAGTTTACCTCTCCATGTCCTGTCATTATTAAAAGAAATGAGAGGCTGCACAGGGAGTTTGAAATGCAAGCTTGAAAGGAGAAGGAAGAGCTATCCAGTATAGACTGGTGTTTCTATTGGGTGAGGGGAGGAGAAGAGAAACTTATAATGAAGGTGTTGAGACAGACTTTTTAACTTTCAGCATCTCCAAGTTTTTATAGTGACATTTTTACAGCAATTTTTGTAATACAATGAATTGATGACAATTAGAGCCTCTTTTGTTTTTTTCCCCCCTTTATAAAATATGCTATGGTACAGAGCAGAACATTATAAGCAAAGATATCATTTTGGTACAGATTTTTATAGTTGACTTCATTGCTTGCTCTCTCTTTTCTCCTTCCTACCAATTACTGAAGATTGTTCAGGTCACTTAAAATTTCTCTGTACCTCAGTTTATCCTATTGGGAAATGGATAACGTGAGAGTTTATGGGTAACTGCACCTGTATTTTCCCCTTTGTGGTACACTCCAGGAGCTTCCTCAGGTTTCTACCCAGCTATCCCGTCTCTGGATAGGAACTATTCTTTCACTCCCCCTGACTGGGGTTTTAAGGCTGCACAGCCTCCTGCCTTACACTGTGATTTCCCCAGCAAGCCAATTTGCCTAAAACTGTGCCAGTGCTTTCTCTCTCTCTCTGGGGGCTATGAGCAATGTATTGCCAGCAGTTACAAGTTACCACACAGTTCTTCCTCAGCAAAATACATTTATCCTTAAGATAAAAAAACCAGAGCCTGAAAACTTATTCACAAGATGTAAATCTTCATCAAATAGTGATGCGCCAATAGTATGTAAACACTTTATAGCCTAAAGCAGTGTGTTTCAAACTTTTCTCACTTGCAGACACCTAAAAAATTTCAAATGGAGGTGCCGACCCCTTTGGAAATCTTAGACATAGTCTGCAGACCACAGGCTGAAAACCACTGGCCTAAAGCTTTTTTTCTTCTTTTAGTTCATCCTTTTCAATACATTGTCACAGGAGAACGTTGTAGCTGAAGAGTTAAATATTTCAAATTCCTGTCACTTTTTAATTTTCATTGTATGTTTTGTTCCTTCCACACTATGTCCCTTTATAGTGCAGTTACGTTATTTATGTGGAAACTCAGCTTAGAGATGTGGTCATCGGTTTTTCTTTCTTAAATTTCCTGAAAACAGTGCTTGGACCTGTGCCAAAATGTCCGTATTTGCTGAAAAGACAAGGGGTTGATCTTATGGCCTTAGACTTGAATAAAAGGAAACACCTGGCTGCTCAAGTGCTATGTTGAAATGTCAGAGTTCAGCTACGTGTTAAGGAGATTGCTTTGACTGATTTTACATTGCTGTGATGTAAACAGAAGTTGCATGGAAACCTATACAGTAGGATAAAACCATATTGGGTTTTATTTATGACTGTACGGAAGATGACATATTACACAATTTTAAAGTATTGATTACAAAATGAAATGCATCTTGGGTTCAGGTTAGTGGGTAATTATCTTAGCAGCACCACCTATCTCATTGCAGGTCATCTGATGTTTTTTTACTTCTCCAGTGCTGTTTTTAAGTAAGGTATGGAAAGCCACCTGAAAAATGTTATTTGTTATCATGCACTATTGTTCAGAGTTATCAGAGAAATAAGATGGCCAACTCAGAATCTTTTGTCAGCCCCACAACAAACTATGGTTTCTAGGAGCAGTAATCTGACTTTCCTAAAATGGTGTGGTGACCAGTTTGGCATGGATTCCTTTGTAAAGTGTGCCGAAATAATTACTTGGCAATAATGAACCCCTTTCTAATTGAGAGTGAGAACCCTGTATAGATTGATGAGTGACACTTGTTGCATATCAGGCAGAGCTGGTAGGCCTGGGCAATTGAATCCAGCAGTGGTTCCCAACTAACAACATCCTCACGGACAGTGCTTATGTTGTGGGTTGCAGGGTGAGGATCATGCATGGGAATGCAATTGAGACCATGAAAATATTAAGGTGGGGAGAGAGCAAGGAGGTGCTGGTTGTGATGTTGGCGGAGAATATGTTGGAAAGAAATGGAGAAAAGAGGACTGGCCAAAAGGGATAAGAAAGGGAAAGAGAGCAGAGAACAAGGTAAAAAGATTGGGTGAAGAGGACAGTGAGTATAAGGGGGATAAGCGGAGGGAAATATAGGAAGCTAAGGAGATACATAGAAAAGGGAGAAGGGAGGGTCCAGCCATGGGGGAGAACCTAATCACTGAGCTTAAAAAAAAAAATCTTTTATCTTGACAAGGAATGGGGCTTGATTTCAGATTTGCTTCGCTGGTCTGGGGATATGTTAGGAGGGGCAAAGATAGGGAAAACATTTTTTGTGGGCAAGATAATATTGCCTGACAGAAAGGTAGCAACCCTCTTTATGGGCTCTGAGGCAAATGTTTATATTGGGGTAAGAAGAATAAATGCTTTCTAGAGATCAACAGAAGGGCGGAAGAGAGGACACAGGATTGCGGGTGTCATGCTCAGAGAGAAAGCAGAAAGATTAGAGATGAAGTGCCCATTTTTACACTATGCTCAGGTAGTTAGCCAGAAGTAAGATTTATGAAGAATTGGTGGCAGAGGGAGATTTGGGGACAGGTGAGTTTGGGAGGGTGTTAATCTTGCCAAAGAAAATCGTACTTTCTGGAAGTTCACATATGTTGTGAAAGGAGGAAGCAGGTTGGTGCTGACTTAATTTGTGACCTGGTACCATATGGCATCGTTATGATTATCTTGGTGCATTCTTTTTAGAAATGAAGTTGCCACAGCAGGAAATGTGCCATTCTGTGATGCTTCCTGGGAACCTTTTCCAAAAGTGTAGCCTTTTTAAACGCTCTGGTCTAGAGCTAACTTGTTTAAATTAAACATCAATAGTTGGTTATTGTAATCACATGTAACAGTGGAAAGCCATCTACTGTCTGCATGGTTCTACATAATTGTTTTACAGTACCTAATTCTCCTATATTACATTCAGAAGGCTCTATTCCTGCACTTGGTTAAGTCTTGGGAGTGTGGAAGGGAAATGAATGAAAAATTTACAGCTCTCGACTTTGTATTACAAACTTGTAAAAGCTGCTTGTCTTATTTCAGTCCAGTAGAAACCAACTCTTTCTGATGCAAGTAGTCCTCACTCCAGTGGGGACCATTTGTGGGAATAAGGGCTCAAGTCTGCTTGTTGCATTGGGCAATTATAAACTTTTTAACGTATTGTAACTTTGTTTCTTCCTTTCAAGATTTGAACATGGAGTTCAACCCATCGGATCACCCAAGGGCCAGCACAATATTCCTCAGTAAATCTCAAACAGATGGTAGGTTACTGGATTTACTACAGTTTTCTCTTTTCAAATTATTTCTAAACTTTGCGGTAACCTATATTAAGTGGGGTTTTTTTTGGTTTTGTTTGGATTTTTTGCCAAGCTTCAGGAGAACAAGACACAACACTGGCAGATTGGTTTGGCTAAACATAATCGGCCAGATCCTTAGCTGGTGTTAATTGGAGCTATGCTGATACACACACTCTGAGGATCTGGCCTGGTGGATTATTGTTAGTAATTAATGCACAATAAGGTATGATCCTGTTTCTTTTATGCAAAACAATAAAATCTAAGTTGACTTCAAAGTGATTCTTACCTGTGGAAGGACTACAGGATCAGGCCCATAGTTATCGCCATGCTCGCTAATTTATTTGAATCCTAACCTATTGAATTAAATTAAGTGTCAGAAGGTTGTTAAAGGGTATGGGCCCATCCTGCAAACACCTGTGCACATACAGAAGTTGACACCTGTGAATAGTCCTGTTGAGTAGACCCCACTGGACTACTCACATGCATCAAGTCGTGCACATGAGTGGGTTCATGATTGGGGTCTGTTGGACCAGTCCCACACACTCTTATTTCACACAAGTCATCATTTGGACCCATGAATGTGCAGAGAGATTCACATGGGGCCTGAGGCAAAGCCCAGTGAAGTCAGTGACAGTATCTCCATTGACTTCAGGTAGCTTTAGGTCAGACCCATGAATAAATGGTTACAGAATTGGGCCCTGTAGCATGTTGACTATTACAAGTTCAAAACATATAATGGAGCTACAAATACTAATAACATGTAAAAGAACTAGTTTCTCTGAATGTAAACCTTTCAGTACAGTTGTCTTTCAGAACTAAACACAATGAGCCAGGTTCCCAGCTAATGTACATCCACGTCGCTTCGTTGGACCAATGGCAATTTAGACCAGCTTAGGGTGTAGCCTGATGTCTTCCCCCATAAAGGTTGAAAACTGTAAATCCCAGTTCACATGAGCTCTTTGATGGGTTTTAAAAACAAATCAAAAATATCCCTTCATTTTTATTGATCAGCACGGTTTGACAGTATCTTTTATTTGTCTGGGTGCTTTTAATTTTTTTTTACTTGGAGACAAAAACAACCTGATAGAAATTAAGCCTTGTTTTTTTTTTTTTTTAAGTCGAGCCTTTAGATGTAATTAGTGGAGTGGAAGCCACTTACTTTTGGCTAATTGAATCTACAATGTCCAGCTTGAGTGATGTTAGTGTTTTGTCAGAAGTAGACATGAATAATGAATACAAAGCATGTTATTTTCTATCCAAACTTTCCAAGCAACTTTTCTGTTGTTTGTTGTTACTATAGTGTGCATTCTCGGTGCTCCTTTTTGGGGGCATCTGAACTCTATTTTAGACTTACTGAGTAAATGATACTTTACTGAGTTTTTATTCAGCTAAGTGCACATTTGTATTTCAGAAATTCTAGTGACATCTTTTTTTAGTTTTTGGTTGTTTTCTGGTAGTTTTTGAAAATGTCATCTACAGAGAAGATGCATTTTAGGCCCTGATTCTGCAGTGGGTTATGTGTGGGTACTCTTCTGCCCTTGGAGGCCTACTGACTGCGTCTGCAAGATTGGGGCCTTAATTAAAAGGCAGCGTGGTAGAATGGGGAGAGGGAAAGAGCCAGGAACTTGTTGCTCTACTGTTGAGTTGCTGTGAGGTTTGGGTATGTCACTTAACCACACACACCACCCCTCATCCTTCCCTGGGCTTGGCAATCTGTAAAATGGGCATGGTGACACTTCCTTACATCACAGTGGTGTCATGAGGATTAATTAGTTAGTGTCTGTACAGCATTTTGGAAGTGCAAAGTAATATTTCAATGCTAAATATTCTTAGAGCTGGTTGAAATGGTGAAAATTTTTCAGTCATTTGAAAACATTTGATCGGCTCTAATTATTATAATTCTTTTCTTAGTGACTGATTTTTTTTATAATGTGTAGATTATGAGAAACTTTAAAAAATGACAATAAATTTACAAACTCTGATCGCTTTCAGCCCAGTTAATTGAGTTATGCAGCTTCTTCCAGTTCAGAGAAAAGGAAGGAATTTATTATTCTCACAAAACAGTATGTCAGCCTTGCTGAACTGTCTCAGAAATTTACCAGCTGAGGTATAAAACCTGCTCATCAACCTTTTGACTTGATGATGAAAAAACAAATGACCTCTTACTCGCCTGCCAAATGAAACACTGTCCTGCAAATACTACTGGGTATAGTGCCCAGAACAATCACATTTCAGTGGAATAAAGAACAGCAGTAAGCACTATGCCTGGTTGTATTTCAGGCCCATTGTATAAATAGATCAGCTATGTAGGGATAGGAAAAAAATTTCAGTAATGTTGCATGATGTCAAACTACAATATCATAGTTTATGTAGGGGGTAAGCAGAGCTAGCGTAAGATTTGTCAGATTCCGTAGGACCCTATATCAATGTTCAAGTCATGGTAGTGTACAATGCAGCTAAGAACTGAGTCTGTTTAAGGCCCAATAAACGTTAATCAAGGTGCCAAATAGTAGGCTCAGAGTACTGCTTATGCAAAAAGTCTTCAATTTTTTTCCTCCTCTTCACAGGGACTGTTCAAGGTGCTAAGCCTGGTGACAATCCTCCTAGCATGTTAGGAATACCACCTTTGATATCTTTAAACTTATTTTAGAACTCATTTAAAAAAAAAAAAGCTTCATAGAATCATAGAATATTAGGGTTGGAAGAGACCTCAGGAGTCATCTACTCAAACTCCCTGCTCAAAGCAGGACCAATCCCCAACTAAATCATCCCAGCCAGGGTTTTGTCAAATCAGGCTTTAAAAACCTCTAAGGATGGAGATTCCATCACCTCCCTAGGTAACCCATTCCCATGCTTCACCACCCACCAAGTGAAATAGTTTTTCCTAATATCCACCCTAGACCTCCCCCACTGCAACTTGAGACCATTGCTCCTTGTTCTGTCATCTTCCACCACTGAGAACAGCTAAGCTCCAACCTCTTTGGAACTCCGCTTCAGGTAGTTGAAGGCTACTATCAAATACCCTCTCACTCTTCTGCAGACTAAACAAGCCCAGTTCCCTCAGCCTCTCGTCATCAGTCATGTGCCCCAGACCCCCTAATCATTTTTGTTACCCTCTGCTGTACTCTCTCCGGTTTGTCCACATCCTTTCTGTAGTGGGGGGGCCCAAAACTGGATGCAATACTCCAGATGTGACCTCACCAGTGCCGAATAAAGGGGAAAAATCACTTCCCTCGATCTTCTGGCAATGCTCCTACTAATGCAGCCCAATATGCCGTTAGCAGTGTGCCCTTGTAGCCAAGAAGGCTGACTCATATCCAGCTTCTCATCCACTGTAATCCCCTGATCCTTTTCTGCAGAACTGCTGCTTAGCCAGTTGGTCCCCAGCCTGTAGCAATGCATGGGATTCTTCCGTCCTAAGTGCAGGACTCTGCACTTGTCCTTGTTGAACCTCATCAGATTTCTTTTGGCTCATTCCTCTAATTTGTCTAGGTCACTCTGGACCCTATCCCTACATCTCCTCCCATTTTAGTGTCATCCGCAAACTTGCTGAGGGTGCAATCTATCCCATCATCCAGATAATTAATAAAGATGTTGAACAAAACTGGCCCCAGGACCGACCCCTGGGGCACTCCGCTTGATACCGGCTGCCAACTAGACATCGAGCCATTGATCACGATCTGTTGAGCCCAACAAATTAGCCAGCTTTCTATCCACCTTATAGTCCATTCATCCAATCCATATTTTTTTTAGCTTGCTGGCAAAAATACTGTGGGAGACCGTATCAAAAGCTTTGTTAAAGTCAAGATATATCATGCCCACTGCTTTCCCCATATCCACAGAGCCAGTTATCTCATCATAGAAGGCAATCAGTTTGGTCAGGCATGACTTGCCCATGGTGAATCCATGTTGATTGTTCCTGATCACCTTCCTCTCCTCCAAGTGCTTCAAAATGGTTTCCTTGAGGACCTGCTCCATGATTTTTCCAGGGGCTGAGGTGAGGCTGACCGGTGTGTAGTTCCCCAGGTTCTCCTCCTTCCTTTTTTAAAGATGGGCACTACATTTGCCTTTTTCCAATCGTCCGGGACCTCCCCGGATCACAGCGAGTTTTCAAAGATAATGGCCAATGGCTCTGCAATCAAATCAGCCAATTCCTTCAGCACCCTCGGATGCATTAGATCTGGACCCATGGACTTGTGCATGTCCAGCTCTTCTAAATAGTCTTTAACCTGTTCTTTCACTATTTAGGGCTGCTCATCTCCTCCCCATACTGTGTTGTCCAGGACTCCTCCCCATACTGTGTTGTCCAGGACAGCAGTGTGGGAGCTGACCTTGTCTGTGAAGACTGAGGCAAAAAAAACATTGAGTACTTCAGCTTTTTCCACATCATCTGTCACTAGGTTGTCTCCCCCATTCATTAAGGGTCCCACACTTTCCCTGACTTTTTCTTGTTGCTAACATACCTGTGGAAACCCTTCTTGTTGTTCTTCACATCCCTTGCTAGCTGCAACTCCAGTTGTGTTTTGGCTTTCCTGATTACACCCCTGCATGCTCAAGCAATATTTTATACTCCTCCCTCTGTCCAAATTTCCACTTGTAAGCTTCCTGGATGGCCTGTGTGTTGGACTGGAAACAAAGGGTGTGGGTACATGCTGCACACACTGAGTTTAAAGTGGAGGTTGTGGTTAATTCGGGGTTTTTAAAGTCAGCCACTGCAATAAAGTAATTTCCCCTCCTGTATTAGTTAGGGGAAACTTGATTGATTGCTACTTCAGTGTGTTGGAAATCCCCCTTTTCATTAGTTAGATAGAGCTGCCTCCTTCCTTCACTTCCATTAGGTCCTTACTTGCTAAATTCAACAATGCTGGTACAGTAATTGGCTTCAAAGGAAACCCCAGTTTATGGGATGAGCAGGAAAGAAACAGACTGTGCTGTTTTTATGTAGACCAGCCCTCCGATCAGGACCAGTCAATTCCCTTGTTCCTCTAACAAGAGGAAACGTAGCTTTATTCCTGTACTAAATTATTTAGGAACTCTCAAAACATGAGAGGCTTTGATTGATGTGTAATTATTAACCCAGGGATATTGCCTTTCATCCTTTTGAAGTCTACCATTAACACTGCCTATGCACATTGCACAAAGGAATACTAAGAGAGCACAATAACAAAAAAAAAAAACATTTTTTCTCTGCTGTTTTAACCCTGGATAATTTATTCATTCTACTGTAGTAAAAATGCAGTTTTAACAATTTGAATGTGCTTGCAAAAATGAGAACAGGTTATTTTGCCTTAAAATTAAAAGAAAATTAAGAAATTTTGGCAGCCCTCCCATCTGTTAGAATGCCTGACGAAAACTACCCAGGACGCAAGTTTTGTAAAAAAGGGAAAGAAATGTAATAGAAAAATAAATAGGGACTTAGAGTCTGAACTTCAAAATTGTGATTCTAAGTCTGTTCAGCTTCATTTCATCTTAAACCACCATTCTTGAAGCCAAATACTTCAATTGTAGCTGTCTGTGGTACCAAATGCTAGTTAATTAGAATGGGGTCAAGTTCTACGGTTTGCACAAGAACACTTTACACTGCTTACACCACACCAATGCCCTTGGGCAGCCGGTGAAGAATTCCCTCTGCAGAAGGACACTCTGGTGGTGAAAAGCTGGCAGAAGTGGCGTTGACATCTCCTGTACCAGATGTCCTTATTCCTAATGTGAAGGGGGTTTGTTGTGGGTAGGATAGGAAGGAAGTGTGACAGAGTGGAGGTTTGCTGTGCCTGATGCTCCCCGGCATAGGTTTCTTGAGGGACCATACACTTTGCATCAGTGCTGGGCAGCCCAGAAATAGAGAATCCTGGCTGACTGTGGTCCCCCACTGGAGAATGAAGTTCAGTGAAGTTTACTTTCCTTTGGGAAAAGATGAGGAAAAAGATCAATCTGGGTCTTACAAGGAGAGAGAATCTGCAGAGTGAGGGGTGGGTCCGTGTCAGTCTGTCCAGCATTGGAAGAGGGTAAATGGCATGGGTGAATGAGCAGTAAGTGCAATACTTCGGCAACTAGAGAATCATACAATGGTGAGGGCACCAAATGATGTGGAGGGTGGGAGGAAGAATATGGAAAGAGAAGAGTAGGGGATCAGGAAAAGCCGATAAATTGAAATATTGACCTGGGGCTCAGAGGCGTGTCTTGTCACTAATTTTGTTGTATGACACAACATGCAGTATAAATGTAGCGAACACAGTTCTGGTACTAGATATTTGTGTGCAAATAAAGTTTTGAGAAAGTACAAAATAAATTTTGCCATTATGAAATTACATCTGTGCTTGGTAAAGTGTCTGCCTGCAGCTTGTGAAAACTATTTACCTCACTTACATTGTATTACACAATAAAGAAATACTTTGACCAGATGTTAAGTAACCAAATGATGGTAGATATTTTCTTAGATTTATTATTTACTTCATTGATGGAATAACACCCTGCTTGGAGCTTCAGAATAGAAAGAACAGTATTTCAGGAGAAGGACAAGCAAGCAGCTTAACTGCTTACTAGCCAATCAGAATCCCTCCCCCCTGTGTTTTGAAAACTGCACAATCAAATACACGTAGCAAACTAAGAGTGTTCCTTTATCGGCAACTCAGGGGGTGGGGGGGAGGGGCGCGAAGGGTCACATGACCCTCCCCAAAATGCTGGGGGCAAGGGGTAAGGCCAGCAGCCGGGGAGATGAAGGGGCAGGGCCAGAGCTGGAAGGGAAGAAGCGAGGTCAGAGCTTCTCTTCTTCCAGCTTCCTCTTCCAGCCATGTTGTCTGGTGCTGCATGCAGCGGCTGTACTCTCCCAGGCAGTCTCAGGCCACGCTGCTTGCTTGGGACAGCCCAGGCAGGCAGAGAGGCCGGAGGCTGCCTGGGAAAGTTCATTAGTGGTTCCACACATGCCAGGCGGACAGGAGCAGGGCTGCCCCTCCTCACCCCCCCAGCCAGGTAAAGGGGACAAGTCATGTGGGGAAGTAACGTGGGGGGCATGGCAAAAAGAAGTCACATGAGGGGGTCATGTGGGGGGCAGGGACGAGTCACGTGTGGGGGGTCACATGGAGAGGTCACGTGCCCTCCTTTAGCTGGTGCCCCCTTTGTGTCCCTCCCACTAGCCACCTTTTGGATGAGAAACAAATGTTTGTGACTTTTTATAAGCAAGCAATCTCATGTTAACAAGGTTGCACGTATGAATACACTGAAATTGTGAGTGTGAATACATGCAGACATAGAATCAAAATTTGTAAAAAGTCTTTAAAAAAAATTCTCGCATAGTATTCCTCCCATGGAGAGGAAGTGAGAAAAAGAGACTCTCACACAACTGATGCTAGTTGTGTCACTTAAGGTGCTTCTGGACGATGCTCAGATACCACAGTGGTGGGCGTGGTGTAAGAGAGAAAATAGAGAACAGAATCAAGCACACCATAGTGCCTTTAATCACCTATGGTATTAAACCATTATTAGTTTAATTCCACTATTTGGTTGTTATGTTACTGGTGTCCTACATGCAGCATTATCACAGCTGTTGAACAGAGCTCCACAGGCTGGCTAAGGGATGAGTTAATAGGAAATATATTGACAAAAATTAAACCAGTATATAAAATCAGTTGTAACAAGCATTTATCTCACCATTAAAGTTTATTTTAGCTTGCTCTTTTGCTTGTAAGCTTTTTGTCTGATAACTGTGGGCCTGATCGTGCAGCTATTACTCATGCGGAGTAGGATTTACTCATTGAGTAGTCCCATTGACTCCAGAGCAACTACTCAGCATGAGTAATGGCTGCAGAGTTGCACTAAGTGATTTTTGGAGGCAGAGTTCCAATGCATGCAGTCTTAGTGAAATATCCAAACAGATGTGAATTTTAATCATCCAGCACAATGCAGAATTTAAATGCCTTTAAGTGTCCAGGTATGTGAGATGTTCCTTCTGTGCTCAAATAATGAGTGAACTTGATTAGTGCGATAATGATGTTACACATAGATACCTTCCTACTTTCCATCGTAAAATGGTGTAACAGAAGCTTAACTGAGACAAAATACAGTCATATAATATTTCTATTACATTTTATGTTTTTGCAGTGAGAGAAAAACGCAAGAGTCTCTATATAAACCACGTAAGTGAAAATGTCTCCCTATGCGGCTTTATATGTTGTCTATATTATGCAGAACTAAGAATCTTTGTAAGTAAATCCCTTGCGTGTGAGAGAGTGTAATGTTGCCCCTGGGGACTGAACTATGGACCTTAGTATGTAAAAGCATGGGTCTTTACTAGTTGAGCCAAAGGACCAGTTCCATTAGCTTGGAATTAGTAGCATTCACACAAACCTGTATATGTGGCATAACCACTAGAAGGGACAGAGAGCCACACTGTGTTAGCATTAGTTTGTATTATGTGGCGAGTCTGTAGAATATCACTGTTATTTTTGAAAAGGGCTATTAAGGTCCAAACTGATGGGATGCATTGCAGAACATATATATAATGTATGGTAAATGTTAGAGTAATATTTATATACTCTTAATATTTATCCTATACCTTTTTCTTACTTCTATTCTTTTCAAATGAATACATTGTGGGGCTGCTGCCAGTGACATCAAGAGCAAAACTCCAGTTGACTGTGTTAGGGACAGGATCAGGATCTTTATTATCGTTCTTTGCATTACCTTAGCACCTAGGAGCTTTATAGATCAAGAATTATCACAATGTAATCAGCAATATTGCCAACCCCAAATATTCAAAAATCATGAGTCAGGTCCCAATAAATCATAAGATGTGTAAATAACATAAAATGGAGAAAGCAGCAAAGAGTCCTGTGGCACCTTATAGATTAACAGACGTATTGGAGTGTGAGCTTTCGTGGGTGAATACCCACTTTGTCAGACCATGCATCCGACAAAGTGGGCATTCACCCACAAAAGTGCATGCTCCAATACGTCTGTTAGTCTATAAGGTGCCACAGGACTCTTTGCTGCTTTTACAGATCCAGACTAACACAGCTACCCCTCTGATAAAATAGAGAGGTTCTTTTTATATGTCTTCTGGTTTCTGAGCCATTAATGTGCACTTTGGTCACATTTTCAAGTTTTTCTCTACCACCATGAGGTCTGAACATTTACTTTAAAAAAAGCCAAAAAACAAAACAACCCCTGAGTTGCTTATATAATCACAAGAGCTGAGGCTTTAAGAAAAACAGAGAATATGGCAAGGCTCGTGATAAAATTGTGAGATTTGGCAACACTGGACCAACAAATATTTTTCTCCTAAAATACTAGTTTTTATTGTTTACCTGCATATGAAAATAGTTTGCATTGAAACTACCTTTGAAAGTCATATTATAAAAATGCACTGTAGCGGATTCCTGTAAATTTACCAATATGTGCTGAATAACTGCCAGCAAGCACATTAACCCAAAACATTTTTTCTTCTTTTGAGTTCTCATTGTCCAGACACAACACAGCTAACTGTCTCCTGACTTGCTTTGCCACTGCATCACTCACAATGGGTGGGATTCTCACCCCTACCCTGCTACCCCAGGCCTGTTTACAACCTGTAAAAGGGCTAAAGTAGAATAAAGGGGCTCTAAAAGCCCATCCCAGCTGGAGGAGAATTCCTCTGGTAAAAATGAAGAAGGCAGCCTCCGACTCTACATACTTGCCACTATTGCTGCAACTTCACTGCCACTGTTAGTCGAGCAAGCTTTGGTCTAGCTAGATCTTGGATATGTCTAAATGTGCTGAAGCCACTCCTCCCAAATCAGTGAAGACATATGCTTAGGAGAGAAGCACAGTATCTCGCCCCACATTTTGCCTTTACAGTTACTGCAGAACCTTGCCAAAGCCTTGAGAGAGATCCTTTCTCCCCCACTCATCCAGAGTGTGTTTTTTATATTTATTTATTTATATATGTATGTGTGTATGTATGTATTTTTCTGTTTTTTCCTAAGTTTCTTCCTATTTTATATTCCAAAGAAGAAGAATAAAGAAACTTTGAAAAATGTGTGGTATTCATTATTAAAAGGACTTAAAAGTGATCCTTTTAAGGCTGACTGCATGCTCCAGGGGTTTTTTATGATAGCGTAAGAGTATAGTGCATGACAAACCATCAAATCTATGTGGGACTAAGCAGCTGCAGCAGGACAGGATGATGTAGAGCCTGAAAGATGGAATATTTTGTTACGGTAATTTACATGTCCTTATTTCCCTTCTTATTGATGGCATTCAAAACGTTAGATAAAATTCCTACAACTCGATCTTTTTTCAGGCTAAGTTAAATGAAATTAATTTACGAACTCCAGGTGTATGGAAATTAAAGATTTCAGATAACCTCTGGACACCAGTCAGGTGATTTTCCTGCGTAAAATATCATTTCTGGCTAGAGAAGCAACTGCTTGACACTACAATGTGGACAAGTCAGTAGTACTGTGTCTGTGCAGTATGCATGTGCAGAAATTGCTTACGGCTAGGCTTGTTCAGCAACTAGGCAAATAAATAAAGAGGACGAAAGATTAACAGGGCCCAGTGATCCTTGTGCTTGAGCCCTTCTTATCTTGAGTGCAACAGTGACTTTCAGTAAGAGATCGCTAAATAATTAATATCAGATCTGCTGAAGGGGATGGAGAGGGGAAACCTGGAAGTGGTCTTAGCAGCTGGTTCATTATTGACAGCAGTTTTGAGCCAGCTGTGCTGGAGACTTGCGAACTCAGGATTCCTAGGCAGAGCCGGAATATCCAGGATTGTTCCAAGACGACGTGTGCCAACATATTCACCATGTTCTAAATGCTAAAGTGTGCTTAGCAGTAACGTTTTAAATCATTGAAAAATAATCACACTAGAACTAATGTGAATGTTTCAAAAAAACTGCCATCCCCTTTACCAAGCTGGATTTTACTTTGTTTTATCCTCCTGCTTATAGTGTACTAAGTTAAACGGTGTTACGTGGGCTACTTGCCAGACTTCACTTTGACCAAGAGGTAAAGCAGGAGACAGAAATGGTGGAATAAAAAGGCTACACAGAGGGTTAAAACTGCTACTTTTATGTAGGGGAAGAAAAAGTGTTTACTAGGATTCCATTAGTGCTTAAGGTAGTCCTCCCTAACATAATTAAATATCAGTGTTCTACCTTAATGTATTTTTACCAAATCCCTATTGTAAATTGGAAAACTAAAGTATTTTCTTGACAGCTGTTCCTTTCTTGCTGAAAAATTCCCCTACCTACGAGTTTTTGCCCTTATAGATGGGTAACCACTCCATAGGAGTTAGCTATGCTTCATATGCTTAAGAACATAAGGGCCAAGTGGCCTTAATGTTCAAAAGTGGCCTCTGATTTTGGAGATTCCTCAGCTGTGGAGTGCTGAGCTTCAGAAACTCAGGGCTTGATTTTCATGGGCACTGAATAACCATAACTCTAGGGTTACCATATTTAAACCTTAAAAAAGGAGGACACTCCACAGGGCCCTGGCCCCGCCCCGGCCCCACTTCAACTCCACCCCAGCCCGCCCCTTCCCCAAAGGCCCCCCCAACTCCGCCCCTTCCCCTGAGCGCCCCACATTCCCCCTCCTCCCTCCCAGCCACGCGAAGCTGCCCGAGCGCTACCGGATTCACGGTTTGCCGGGCAGCCCCCAGATCTCCAGACTCTGCGCCCCCGGCCGGGCACTTCCCCAGCGCAGCCAGAGCCCGGGAGGGGAAGCGCCCGGCTGGGGGCGCAGGGTCTGGAGATCTGGGGGCTGCCCAGCAAACCGTGAAGCCAGTAGCGCTCGGGCAGCTCCA